GGCTGGGAGCGGGCGGCCCCGGGTGCCGGGGGCGGCCTTTTTGTGCCAGTGATGTCACTGGCGTAAGGAAGACTTCCCTTGCCCCGAAAACCGGCTGATAAGGGCCGTTGGCCGAGAAGCAGCTTTTCAGAACAGTGGGAGGATATAGTGATTGTCTTCGTCCCTCGGAGGAGCTCTTCAGAGTACCCAACTCTGCACCGCAGAATGAAGAGTTTGGTACAGAAGTTGTAGATTTTAGGAGATTGTGTGAATTTGGTTTGAAACCTGTGACTTCAGGATAGCTTTAAATGCTGTTAAACCGCTAATCGTCCTTTTACAGAGAGCAATCACATCTGTCGGGGGAAGAGAAATATTATTAAAAGTCTTGGTGTTTTTTCCAGTTTATATACTGCTCCATTAGCTGAGTTTTAAATGCCCGTCTGTGTGTAAGGGCAAGGGCTAGAACTCAGGGGTGGCGATAGAGCACCTGTACTTGGGATTCTTCTTGCTGATGGCGCAGAATTTAGGGGTGTCTGAAATTTGTTGCCCAAATTTACCTTGGCTTGCTGATCTTGCAGTAAGAAAGCATGTAAGTGAGTATTTACACCAGAGTGCATTAAAGATTATTTCTAAAGTGTTAATGCCTCAGAAGGGATTGATGCTTCTCTGTTTCCATGTGCATAGTACAGTGATGCCCCCTGTTTTTCTTCCTTAAGTTTTATCATACTAACTCTCTAGGTACAGTAACAATGAAAATAGGCATGTTGTTAAAATTCATTGCCAGTGGATGCTTTTGGGCTGGTATTTTCAGTGTTTGTTACTCAGGTGCTGCTAGGTACTGTCAGCTGGCTTCTTGATCATTTAAAATGTTTGTCAGCATACTTCAGTGCTGGGTATGTCATGTACTTATTTTGACCAAAACAAAAAAGAAAAATGAAAACTTTACCTCTTCCAGAGGTTGAAAAAGAACATCAGCTTTATTTAGTGGCTAATTATCCAGGGTTTGGATAATTAAACTCCCATATAGTTTTTACACTGGTGAAATATTTCCCTTAAAGAAAATTCAAAATGAGTAAACTTGTAGTTTTAATAGAGCTTGTCTGGCAAGGCAAGTTAACAACTTTATGTTGCTTTTTGTTATTAATTAAAAACAACCAAAAAAAAAAGCGTTATGTATAACCATTCCAAACTTCTGGAAAAAAGTGGAGGGGGGACTAAATAATGGATTACTATTGACTAGGCAGCTAGTGAACCTCTGAATAAAAGTTTTATTATGGAAGTCTTGGCATCAAGTGTCATGTAATCTGCCTGGTTTTGCTAACATCTGTATGAGAAACGATTCTTTGCCTGTTTTATGATGAGCTTTCTGTGACACTGAGTTGCAAACCGAAAAATTTTGCAAGTCTTAAGACTTATGTAGTAGTAGAAGCTAAACGTTTGCTAATTTATTTGACTACTTTTACATGTCACACATAGAAAAAGAGGTTTATAAAAATGGTCAGAAAATTCCATGCACTTAGTTCTGCTATTTATAGTTCCAGTACTTGCAGTTTCCAGAAACTGACTGATTTTATTCATGCTAATGAAAAGAAATTTGAGAGGTTTTTCAAGTAAGCTATCAAAATTCACCCTACCACAAATTCTAGCTGCTGTTGAAAATTAAAGGAAAAAAGGAGGGGCAGGGGGTGGGAGAGACTACAAAATGGTGTATTTGCAATATGCCAGTTAAAGCAAGACATCCTGACAGAACTGAAATCTAAAGGAAAAGCGAAACTGTCTTTCTCACATTAACTTTGACACGTTTGAGAAATTCTTTCAGTGAAGAGCTGGCTATTTGGCTGTTACAAAGAAATTAAAACCACCTCTCATTTCATTCCCCCTGTTCCAAAAAGGATGGAAGAAAAGCATGCAAGCTCTGTTTCTGTTGCACAAGTGACTTCGTGGGATGATAAACTGGGAATTATTCAGTTCAACCCAAGCTCCATCATTGGAAAACTGTAGTTCATCTGTTTACATGGGTGTCAGATAATATAGGTGTGCCAGGAGCCTTATTTGGACTTTCTTGTAGGTAAATCCTACCACTGAACCATGTGTACAGGTAACAGAGGTGTCATGAAGGGTCAGTAGCAAAAGGCAATCATGTGGGGTTATGTTGCGCAAACTGAAAAAAACTAATCTTTAAAAATCAGTTAATTGAAGGAATCATTTCAAGGTCATTTGGGTTCAAATTAAGCATTGTGAACAAAACCTAAATCAACAGCTGTTGATGTCCTTTCTAGACTTGGAAAACAGCAGTTAACTGGCTTGGTGGATGGATGTGTTGTGATAAAAAGATACAAGCATATGTTCGTGTCTTTGTGAGGTGTTTTAAAGCTCATATTTTAAACTCTTATCTGAAATATGTGACAAATCCTTGTCTTGCAGCATTTATGCTTATCTTAGCTATGTAGTCAAAGACAGAATGGAATGCCTAGTAAGAGGACCTCCCCTCCTCCAGACGTGTATTTGAATACTCTGTGTCTTTCAAACTTGCATCTTAATATGTGTACGTATAGACACGAAGAAGAAGAATAACAGTAAGCCAAGGAAATTCTTGAAGGCAGCATTTTAATTTGATGGGTTTTCAAGAAAATCAGCAGATTGAGCTGATTCACCTGACAGTGAAGTGAATGCTGCTGCTAATGTGAGCAACGGGACTATTACACCTAGCTGAAGCAGAGGCTTATCATAGCCCAGTTTAGATGTTTTACTCCTCATTCGGGCATAGAGTCTAAAATTCTGAAATTTATAAGTGGTGTGAGTTGAAGACTGTGTGCTTATGGGAATATTGTTCAGCCAGTATGGAGTAGTGATTTGGGTTATTAAAAAAAAAAAGCTTCCATATGCAAAGACCTTTAGGAGATAAGAACTGTAAGAAAATTAGAATCTGGACATGCACATCACATTGACATTCGAGTGGCTAGTGCAGCTGTTAAGCAAGTTCTAGCTTCTGTTTCCAGCTTTGCCCTTCATTGGCTGCAGAACTTCCCTTGGGTTTAGTTTCCCAATGCTAGCTTTACTTGTTAATCTGTAAATGCTTTATGAGGGTTCAACTTTCACCACAGGCTGGGAGTGAAGACCCAGGTAAATGAAATGTTAGTTTGGATTTTAAAGGCCATCAGAACTTCAATAGTACTAATAGGCTTTTAGATGGGTACCTAGTTAACAGAAGGAATGCAGATACAGGGTTCAACCTTTTGTTCCTTTTATCAGTGGCAGCAGAATATGACATCTAACTCAGAAGTATGTGGTTCAGATCTGGTATCCTAAGTAATAGGAGAAATCTGAATGTCTGTCAGGAAATCAGATCCTTCTAGGTAGCTTGGCCAAACAGAATGAATACTTGCTTCTAGAATCTTACATAAAAGAAATTGGAAAGGTTTTGCTTAGACTGAACGGGCCACTGATCAATGATTTTAAAAATTGGAGTTACTTAGACTTTCAGAGGAGTAAAGCTTTCTACACTTTAGCCCAGCAAAATGTATTAAAAAGAGGTTTTGAGTAGTTGTGAGTGCTATGGTCAATTGAGTATATACTTATCAGGCATATCTGCTTTTACAGAATTCTCTTTAACAGTGATCATTAACTAAAATCATGGCAACTGCCAGTAGTGAGCTGCACCATCCTGTAGACCCTGGAATCTCAAAGCTGCAGTTTGCTCCCTTCAGTAGTGCCTTGGACGCAGGATTCTGGCACGAACTAACCCAGAAGAAACTCAATGAGTACCGATTGGATGAGACCCCAAAAGTTATCAAAGGATACTACTACAATGGTAGGTAGAAACCGAACATTTGCTTAATAGTTTGGGTTTCTCCTGTCATTCCTCTAAGTGTGTAGCACATTTTAGGTATTTTGCTGTGAATTCTGGTGTGTCTGTGGGTAAAGTGCAACTTACATTAACAAAAAGAGGGGAATTAAGGTGTGTATCACAGTTTAAAAGAAGGATGTTGCTGCTTTTTTGTCCAGGTGATCCTTTGGGTTTGCCAGCTCGCTTGACACTGGAGTTTAGTGCCTTTGATATGTAAGTATATACTGTGGTTTGCTTTGATTCGTATGTGAAGACACTTTCCTTGCTTAATGGTAATGCTTTCATATGTAATATTACTTGGATGAATTCCACGTGAAAATAAATACCTGTTTTCCTGAACTTTGTAACAGTGGAGAGACTGCTTTGAGTCACAAACATTAGCTCCCCTCTGTCTGAGGTAGTATATTCATCTAAAGGGCCAAGTTTAAAAATATGCTGGTAAATCTCAAATTCACTCAGTGTTTGTACATGTGTTTATATAAAATACCTTTCTTTTTTTTTTTTTTTAAATCAGCTCTTCTGTGTAAGGGAGGCTATTTCAGTCATCTTTCTGGTCAAATTTTACCTTAGGTGATTTACTCGGGATTCATAATAAGAATTAGAATCTCAAAATTGTTTTTACAGTTCCTAGTTGTTAACCTGTAATACCTTCCCAAGTATTTAACCTTTATGACTGAATTTTTGTACTTTTGCCTTTACCTCCAAAGTGAAACGTACAGCCAAGCTGCTCAGTGTACACAGCAAAAATTATATGAGAGGGATATATTTTTTCCACATGGTGTTCATTTCCAGCAAATGCCCAAGTTAGTGTAACTAGCATAGAAGCAGATGTCTTTGCAGTTATTGTCTTGTTTGTTTTAAATTGGTGGATTATAAAGTTGTAAATCACAGGATTGACTTTCTCTGCCTTGCTTGATGAAGATGTTAGGAGCCTAGAGAGGCCTTGTGCATTTTGAGCTAGTCTCTTAGCAGATATTATTCCATTAATTATTATGTAAGAACTTTTAGGAAAGCATTTTCAGCAAGGTACAGTTGGAAACAGGAATTTCAGATTAGGAAAAAATGGTTGGTACCATGGTATTTGAGCTCTTAAATGTTATGACAGATAAAATCTTGAAAGATCTATTTATGGAGTGTTAAATTATTGCTTCTCCTGTAGTAATTTTCTGTACTTTTGGTTGTCAGTTTAGACTATCATGAAGAGTTCAGTTTTAGCTTTAAAGATTTTTGAAAATTATCATGTGTATTTATTATGTAACTTAAACATTTCCTGTATTTGAGTTTTAGCAGTGGTCAGGAACATAGCCGCTTGAGGGAATGATGTGCAAGGAGTGAAATCAATGTGATCTATAAATTAAGGCATATTGTATTTTTTCTAACTAATTTACTTTCAGAAGAGGAAAAAATATGTGCTGTGTTCGCAAACAGCTGTTTCTCCAGCTGATGATGTTACAAACCATGAAAGTTACTCAATCTCTTGTCTGGTTCAGGTTTCCTTTGGGATGTTGTTAAACGTAACTCTTAATGTGAATGAAATACTGCCATCTAAAGTTCAGTTCTAGCATTTTTTTTCTTAGTGAAAATCACATTTGTCATGGATAGTTTCTATTTGAGCAGAATTCTTAAATCTTCAAGCTGTGATTTAATGCTGCCTTGCTTAGAGATAATACAGATGTCTGATCTGTTTTTGAAGTCATAATGTAGGCGTGTATTTGCACAGGTCCTAAATACCAATCTGCATGGGGTTGAATACTATGATCATAAAAATGTTTTTGTTAGGACTGTTGTTGACTTTTGTTACTGTGCCTCATGATTTGACAATTTCAGGGCAACCTTACACCGTAGGATAGCTACTGCTACTACTGCTGATCATGTTAAAGGCGTTACTATCTGATTTCCAGAGGCTTCTTTCTTTGATTCAGGAATGCTTCAATACCGGCACATTGCTGCCCTGCTATTGGAACACTGTATAATACCAACACTTTTGAGACTTTCAAATCCTGTGACAAGAAATCACTTCTGGAAAAAGAAGCAAATGAGGTAAGATGAAAAATCAAATCAACTGGTGGAGAGGGATTGGAAGTAGCCAGTGAAGTGCTTTATAGTCTCTTCCCCAAATACTGGAGATAACGTCCGTACTCACCCGTGTAGTAGCTGTAGGATTTAACTTATTCTGGGAGGAATAGTTTGATGTTTGCTTCTAACTGCTCTTTACAAGAGAGTAGAAAGTACCTAATTATACTTGGAGGACTTCATTCAGTGTTCATCTAGGCCACCTTATAAGGTTAACAGTGCTATTGGAGCTGCCAGTGACTTGGATCCTATAGAGCACATTTTTAAAATTTGTCTAGACACCCAGAAACCAGCAAGTGCCTGGTTAAACTCTAGAGTACTGCAATACATCTGTGTGACGGGGAAGCTCCAGACCAGCCAGAAGACTAAGATGAAGCAACCGATAACGTGGGTGTCAAACGAAGGGGCTGGTCTGCTTGCGCTGTAACTAACTAAATTAAATGTCATGACTTGGGGAGAAGTGAAAATCAAACTGAGGCAACCTTTTTCTTTCTGAGACACCTTGCTTTGACCAGTCCTTGATTACTTTAACTCGATTGATTTCTGCCTGCTGGTCTTGAGTAGCAAAGTTCTCATGCATATCTTCACTCAAGGCTATGAATTTTTGTGTTGCTGTGGCCTAGTACTTCCCTGCCTTTGGTACGTATGATGCAATATCTATCTTCAGGGAAACTGGGAAAGTCAGAATGCTTTACTTGCTTTTGGGTTTGGAATTTTTGTTTGTTCGCTTACTTTTTTAAGACAAAGGTCGAAGAGGTCTGCCTCACAAAACTATTATAGCTGCTTGTCTCGCTGACATGCAGTGTACTGTCTCCATTTTTTTGGGCCAAATTTCCTAGTACCTTATTTACATATGTAGTATCTATAGACCCCATGAATTAAAAACATGAGAGTACAATAAAAGGCTGTATTAATAGCACAGTATAGAACATAATAATTAATAGTTCATATACACGCGGGGCAGCTCCTGGTGAGGTTTGGTTTGTTTTGTTTGATGCTCCATGCTTGGTCCATGAAATAATGATTTTCTTGTTCCCCAGCTTCCATAACTTTTTGTGTTAAGAGGGTGCACATCTGTGTTTTACCTTTAGAATCCTTGTAGCATACATAATAGCATGGATGAGATTAGTTAGGAAAAGATCACAGTGGATTACTGGGCATGCTAATTTGAGTATTTTAAAGGTAGCTGGAATAATTACAGGTTTCGACCACTGTTCTCTGCTACTTCGGTATTTTGTTTCTCTGCTCTTTCTTTTCCTCCTTGTCTCCACAATCAATGACAGATATGGGAATCAATAACATCTGGAGCTGCTCTTGAAAACCCAATGCTCTTGAACAGGTTCCTGCTGCTGACATTCGCAGTGAGTAACGATGTCTCATATTTAGAGCATCATAGTGCGAGTGATGTAGTTTCAGTTCCTTTTTAGGAGAAATACTCTATTAGTATTAGCATATCAGTGATAATCAGGATCATTCTCAGACATCTTAAAATTTCTGAAAACATTTTTAAAAAACTAATAAGCTATTCTAGAAAATATTTTTAAGATATATTCTTTTATAAATGCTGCTGCCATCTCATGCTTTTCTACAAATGTAAAAGATTATCTGATGACCTTACAGATCTTAGTAAAAGTAGAGCAACTGCTTCATGTTAACACATTGTTTTAAAAGTGAAAGTTTTAATAAATAATGCTCCGGCTAAGAAAAACTGAAGTATTGTACATACATTGTTTAAATCTTAAATAAAACTATATACAGAGAAAGGAAGTCTTCTAGTATTTTTTAAATTATTTTCTAAAATCCCGACCCAGTGCCTTGTGAAGTAAAGAGAACTGTGGTTAGTATGGTTAGTATCATGAGCCATCAATTATGATTAGTGTTCAAAACCGTAATTTACTTTGATTTATATGTTTATTATCTAATTTTACAATTTTTTTTTCTAGGATTTAAAAAAGTATCATTTCTATTACTGGTTTTGCTATCCTGCTCTCTGCTTCCCTGATGGAATACATGTAATTCAGAAACCGGTGTGTCTTGGTGACAGATTCTCGTCAAACCAGGTATTCAAAATACTAAATGTTATGAAGTCTGTAGTATTAGGCAGTTTTTTGGGCTGTAAAACTTAGTATTTTTGTTAGCACATACCTGAATTAATTTGAGAATCTAATTTCTTTTAAAATCTTCACTTTTCTTATTACCATGTGGATTTTTTGTTTACCTCTTTTCTTGTTATTGTATAAATTCAGTGTAACATCTCTTCAGCTTTATTATTTAGATGCAGATATGGCAAACAATTCTTGAAGAAGTAGTTATGTTCATTTTAATTTTTATATACAGCTTATTGAATGTTATGCAACAGCTGTTACACAGCTCTGTTTTTTAAACTCATATTTTTATGAAACTTTTTTAAAGGGTCATCCCCTGCGAGACCTAAGTCATTAACAATTACAAAATTGTTAATAAAGTATCTGATTGGATAAGAAAGACAACTGGACAGGGAAGACTTTTTTTAGGAGAAAACAATTATTTGTATTTTCTCTCATATTATAGTGCAGAATGACAAAAAAATCAACTTGCCCACATGAGCCTTTTTGCTTTGGCAGAAGTTAATGCAAAACCTTGAATGGCTTTTTATTGGCATAATAATCAGTGAGAAACTGTTCGGGATTTTCAGTGGAAAATGCTAAGTGTCCTTCTTCTCAGGAGACCCTCATTAGTTCTGTAGCAATAAATAGTGTAAAAATATGTGTCATGAGCCAAAGCCAGAGTTTCAACACTGAAAATATATATACCAAAGTGAATTGAATGGGACTCTCTTTGTTTTCTAGTAACAGAGGGACAGATTTGCTTTTTTATAAAGCTACAGTGACTACCAGAATGAAGTTTTTATCGTGTGTTCTATTGGTAGACCAGTTTGTAGCAATGATGATAACGCCCCTGTTGAAAATTTTCATTGACTAATGCTGGTTTTGCAATTGAATTTTTGATCTTGGTTATTTTGGTCACAATGAACTTAAAAATTCTGAATATGCTATATTCTAAGATCATTTGAGTGAGCTAGCCTTCCCAGATGCTAAAACACTTCCTGTGATTCCATGTAAGATTGTCAAAACCGTGGGTTGCAGTTGTCTTTTTGCTTTTAGATCCAGGCACTTCAGAAAGCATATGATGACCTTTGCCGGAACGAGGGAGTTACAGCTTTGCCTTATTTTTTAATCAAGTATCATGACAATTCTGTTGTGATATCTCTGCTGAAAAATTGGGATGATTTCTTCCAAGACCAAAGGGGAAAGGTAATGAGAATTTTGTGTCTGTTTATAACCTACAAATGTTTCATTTATAAATGGTTTGGAAAGTGTCTATAATCCTGAGCTGGGCACAGTGGTTGGCCAATGAATAGACTGGGTAAATGGCTGAAGGCCAGCAGCTTGGATTGATTTTGGTGTCAAGTGTCTCTAGTTCTTACACAAAAGCCTAGTAACATCAGATTAGCAGTCAGCTTGAAAACGAGGTTCTTCGTGCTCTGTCACCCTCATTATCAGAGCACAAACTAAGTAAGTTTATGAAACAGTTCAAGTCTTCCAACCACTTTACCTACAGTTCTGTAATAATGCAAAACACTTATTTTGTTGTTTGGTAAAAATTGATACTCCTATATTTGATGTATTTATTGGTTGTGGTAGCAGTAATCAGGGAATACTATACGGGAGTCCTCAACTTTAAGTTTTGAACTTTCTGTGTGTGTTTTGCCACATAGCCATGTTGCAACGTGAGACCTTTGGATAAAAATCACCAGGCATCTGTATATGATGAATGTTCATGGTAGATGCTTTGTAATTTTGGGAGACACATGGGTTGTGCACAGAAGAGGCTGGGATATTTCTTCTGTTGAACGCAGAGATCACACATGTCTTTTGAGAATAAAGTGAGCACTGTGCATTGCTTTCAGTGAGGGAAGAATTATAAAGGTACATGAAGCAGATGTCATCACAGCGCGAGTTGACTGGCTTGGTTGGCTTGTGTTTATGTACATTGATTTCTGTTTTGTATCATGTTGCTCAGCTGCTGAACTTTTCCAGGCCTTTCTGAATGCTTCACTGTCTATTTTTGATGAACTTAAAACTTTCTTTTTAATCATACATGTTACTGAACTTTTAGGAATCAAAACTGAGTTATGGTGAAGAGCTAATAAGTACAAAAAAGATGTAGATTAGTTTAAGGAGGTTTTGTCACACTTTATGAAAGTAATTTAGTTCTGGTTTATAATGCTTGATCTTCAATTATTTTTTTGCTTTTCAAAATTTATTTTTCTGAAATTAAGACGTAGGTTCCCAGTTGTAGTTTGAAAAATAAAAATGCGAACATTGAGAATTTAAATGGTAGTATGGCTACACTAATGGGTCACAGATAAGAATATGCTCAATTAGATAAGGACGTTCTCAGTATGAGAGAAATCTGTGATCATCTGGAAAACATTTCTTCATTAACATTCACTTTGAAGGGAAGTGCCAAAATTTAGACCTGTTGGATTTATTGTATCAGTCCTGCCTGTAGAGTTTGTTTGTATTTCAGTGAGCCAACTGAACTTGCTCCACTGGAAGAAAAATAGGTTTTTGCTGTTGCTGACTTAATTTTCTGCTAGCTTATGAAACTGAATGAGCTTACTAAGGGGGCTAATGTCTGCTGGAATCGGCAGTTGCAAAGCAGCAGCAGTGGCTGGGAGGAGGGATGGGGAGTGGGCCCTTGTTTCTCCTGTCTGCATCCATTAGATTAGCTCATCTTCAGTTGAGACCAGTCACTCTATTAAGTCCACCTATAGGGAAGAGCTCTGGAGATGTGAGAGACAGGTAACACTAGGGACGGCCGAGTTCGGATTTTCAGCATATCTAAAGGTAGGCAGTGGCATCTTTCTGATCTCTGAATGTGTTTTGGTTCTGCATTGACTGAGAAGTAAATTCCTAGTTTAGATGCCTCAATTACAAGGAACTGCTGGCCTCTCCCCTTTCACTTTTTGATCATCCCAAAATCCATGCAGAATTCTGTTTTGAGAGCAAGGCTTCTGTTGTTGGGCTGCTCCCATAATGGTGTGGGTAAGGAAGGTGCACATACTGTAGGGAGAAGTGGACGTCCATGAAGAGGATAAATTGAATGTATCTCAAAGCTGTGGCAAACACTTGACAGAAACCTAGTGTGACCACGTATCAAGCATTTGTAAATACATTAAATGTGTGTGTAGGCCTTCTCTGTGCAGAAGTTTTACATTAAAAATGCCAGATAACTTTTACTGTGAACTAAATATCTGTATGGATAGATGAGTTCTCATTTACCACAATTTTATTTCCAGGTGACTGTTGGAGTTTATGATCCATGTAATTTATCCCACTATCCAGGATGGCCACTGAGAAATTTCCTGATCCTGGCAGCCCACAAATGGTATCTATTTTGTTCTTTCCCACAAAGATTATTTATTGGTTGGTACCAAATAAGGCATTTTTCCCCCCTATGGCACTTTACTCCTATCACCCACCTGAGATTCAACTTTTAACCTAGAAGTGACATACCTTCAATGATTCTGATTTTGCATATTATTGTTTTTTTACTTATGTCGGCCACAAGTTCTTGTTATTCCTAATCCTCATATGCATGCATGTACCTGGAAATGCATGCTTCAGACCCTGCCAATACTCTCTAGCTGTTTCAAATCTGGTTTAAAGTATTCTAAGATTTTATATCATTAATTAGTGCCAAGTAATAGTAGGCCGAAATTTTGAAAATCAGATGCTCTTAGCTTTTCTGTAGTGTACCTTCTTGAATTTTTGTTGGGCAGAAGTTGGGAAGACAGGACATAGTTTTACACTTTGATATTTGAAAGAAAAGTATCATTTAAAGTATCACGTAAAAACGAGTTGCTGTAACAAAAGTGTAATTGAGTTGCATTTTTGTAGTGTTGACTTTTACATTTTGTTACAAATCAGTCATCAGAGAGAAGAAATGCTCAGTGAGGTATGGCATTTTGTGGGCTGCTAGTGAACTGTAGCATAGAGTGATGTGTATGTGCCCAGAGAGCTTTGCACGTTCTGAGATTCAGAGCTTTTGATGCACTACTAATTGTTTGATTTGGGGATTTGAATCATAAGGAGGAGGAAATACACTGTGTTGAGAACTAAGAGGACCTTGCTTGTGCCATGGCAAAGTACATCATGTTCCCTGATGTGTGCCGTATTGCTTCCCTGCTTTTTATTCCTCTAAACGTGCAGTTTCTACTGTAGCTTGGTATAAATGAGAGGACAGGCTGACAGTGTCATTTCTCTAGAACTGTTTCACACAAACTACTCATTTTCACGTGCTAAGCAATGGTTTTTATTTATACCTAATCAGAAAAACAGTGTTCCAGTACTAACAGAAAAAGCCTTACTCAGAATCTGCAGTAGACTAAACCTGTGTGAAATAGTATTTAAAAGAAGTCCCTTTCCTTCAAAGAAGTTGCATGTCTCTCTCCATTTATCTTTTTTTAAATGGCAGGGGCAGCATTCTCCAGTCAGTTGAGGTGCTCTGCTTCAGAGATAGGACCATGCAAGGAGTGAGAGACATAACACACAGCATTATCTTTGAAATAAAACTTCCAGAGAGAGTCCTTGGCCCAGGTAATCCATTTAAAAAAAAAAAAAAGAATTATTTGCCACTTTTTTCCTCGCTCCTCAATCACTGTGAAGATGGGAAAAATCAATTACTAGTACTAAATCATTGCTTATGCTTAGTTATTTCCAATGGCTTTTAAATTGTTTGAATTTCTGATAAATGTCTAAAAAGGAAGTGGTTCCTTCTTCAAAAAAGGAAGAAGACAGAATATTCTCTTTTTTTTTTCTCCTTAAATCATGTTTCTAGTTTAAAAAAGAAGAAAAAATCCCAGAAAACCAGGCAATTAGTCTTTTTTTTCTTTTTAAATTTGTATGCAGTCCCTCAGCTAGAAAAATTGTATATCATAGTGAATTCATGTGGTGCAAACTTTCTGTATATTTCTGAAATGTTAGAAGCCTGCTACACAGTGGAATCATTTCTTCAATCCCATACTGAGGTATGCAGATATATTTTAAAGCAATGAACTTGTAATGTTAGAACATAAACTCAGACTTACTTTCTCTGTACAGGACAGTATCACAGAATTTACATAATCCAAGAAGTTCTGAATGCTTTACATATCATCATTGTGAATTGTTTAATTATTATATAAATAGGATATCTCTACTGAATTTGCAGATGTGGTCTAGATAACATGAACTGATGATTGAACTTGGCTAAATTTTCTGAGTTCTGAATTATGAATTTACTGAGTTCTGAACATGGCAGTCTGTTTCACATTAAAGATCCTGAGGCTTGATGAGGAATGATGCCACCTCTGTGCTAGATCTGAAGCAAGCTGAACAGGCAAAAAAAGCGCATCGGACACCTGAGAGTAAAGCACTTCCCCAGGAAGCAGTGCTTTTAGTTGATGTTAACCAGCAAAATTTGTATAACGCTGTATAGTAAATAAATAAGATACAGATTATTTACTTAATGGTTTATAATATGTTTGTTTTCTTGAACAAAGTTGCATTTCTTTTTTCCATCCTGTGATGCTAAGGCTTTCATTCTCTCTTTCGTCCTTTCTTCCTTTTTTAAAAAATATGTCAGATTGCCCAAAAGCTGTTGGATGGGAGAAAAACCAGAAGGGAGGCATGGGTCCAAGGATGGTGAATCTCAGTGAATGCATGGATCCAAAAAGGTTTGTTTATTATCTTTTAAATTTCTAGAGTTTTACTTCTTCCCCCACTCTGTGAGGAGGAAGGAGCAGCAGAGACAACGTGTGGTGAACTGACTGGGAAACCCCCATCCCCTGCCCGCTGTGCAGCTGTGGGGTAAGAGGTAGCCCAGGAAGAAAAGGAGGGTGGGATTGAGGGTTTTTTAGGATCTGTTTTGGTTTGATTGTGTAACTGATTTAAATGGGTTTTTCTTCATTCAGTCTGTTTTGCCTGTGACCATAACGGGTGAGTGATCCCTCCATGTCCTTTCCTCAGGCCACCAACTTTTCCTTGTGTTTTCTCCTCCCCATTCCACTGGGAGGGGAGCGAGCAGCCACCGGCTCTGTTGCTGTTGGCTTGGCCTAAACCAGGACAAGAAAAGCAAAAGAATTTTTAAGGAGTTGTATGAGAAATAGTAGAGGGATAATAAGCATTAGTATTCTGTGTGAAGCAATATACTCTCTTGGAAAGAAGAAGCAAGAGAGTGAATGAGATAGTCATGCTTTGGATGTTCTTCTGACATTTTCCTGTGCCATATTACTCTCTGGATGATTTGTGATGACCTGACTTGATGAGAGTTTTAACATACTGTGTTCTGATGAATACAAAAATCTCACTTGAGGTTCAGCATGGATTTCCTACCTCGTTTTCCTTCTAAAACTTCCACAAAGAGCTGACTCCATTCCTTAGAGGGAAAATGTAATATTTCATGTTGAGAACAGATGTAACTGGATGCAGGAAACCATTCTTCTCTGATGTCCTTGCCATGCACCTTGGTATTAGGTGGAAGTATGCTTGTGGGACTTTGTTTTTCAGGCTACCTGTATGTTGAATTGTTGAATTCTTTCTCTTCTTTAAAAAAAAAAGTATTGAACTTCTTCAGTTGAAATAAGTAATTGTTTTTTTTGAGAAACAGAAGAACATTCAGAAGTGTGTTGCTATTTTTTTCATCATATAGATTAGCAGAATCATCAGTGGATCTTAATTTGAAATTGATGTGCTGGCGGTTGGTGCCTACTCTTGATCTGGAAAAAATTGTGTCTGCCAAGTGTCTGCTGCTAGGAGCTGGTACACTGGGTTGTAGTGTTGCAAGGACCTTGATGGTAAGTCTGGTGTTAGTCTTAAAAATAATTGCTATTTCTCATAAACTATATATATATTGTTTTTGGGGTTTTTTTTGAGCAGCTGCCATGGCATGCAAGAGAAAATTTGTATTCCTCTGTATGAATGTACACATAATCCATATTAGTTGATGTTATGGATTGTGGGGAAGTGGTAAAATCTGCAGTCAAGTGTTTTGAGGGATTGCTGCTAAATTTTTTGTCAGACCACATTTTCTGTTCTCTTAATTCACTGCAACTGCAAGGTTGTTGCTGTGAATAGCTTCAAAAGCGACTGTAGTTTGATCTTCCTAGAAAAATTGGACAAAACTCCTCTTGAATTTATGGCATCGCTCAAAAGGATATGGCTAAGCCCATGGTACTTACCATTATTTAAATGACTTTCTTGTTTAGGGCTGGGGAGTCAGGAAGATTACATTTGTGGACAATGCAAAGATCTCCTACTCCAACCCAGTACGACAGCCACTCTATGAGTTTGAAGACTGTCTTAGCGGTGGGAAGCCTAAAGCACTTGCAGCAGCAGACAGGCTGCAGAAAATCTTCCCAGGAGTGGTAAGATCAGAGTTTAAAATGTGTTAATATGTTCCTTGGAAGCGAACCAATGACTTCAAATAACTGTTCCAAGTTCTAGTTGGAATAGTCCAAGCATTGTTTTGAGTGGGAAAAATACTACATGGGTGTTATGTTGGCTACTGACAAATCTATAAGCGTTTTGCTTCAAGTACTCCATACCTGTTAAACTTTATTGAGACAATAAATATTTTTAATAATGAAATCTAATGAAAGGATCAGCTGAATCATGTTGTAGCTCATGGGTGGTAAAGTAAAATTTTTTCCTGTCTTTTCTGTGTTTTCCTACTCTGCTCTTAAATGTGAGTTTAGTCACATTAGTTTTATGGGAGAAGAAGGTCTTGAAGGCAGTAACACATGTATTATTGAGATTTTCTTTTATGCTTTACACCCAAAATTTGGAATCTTATTTAAGCTGATTTTCTATATAAGAGGCAAATACTTTAACAGGTTATGCTGCTGTTGGAATAAAATGACCTGATGCTTTCAAGATTGCTGTAGATGGACATTTTGCTCTACAAATGATCAGTAGTGTAGTGCAAGTAAAAGAAAAATTTGTACTTGTAAACCTGAAAGTTGGTTTTTTCTCATGGTTTTGCCTAGTATAACTTAATAGCAGCAGGTATTGATTAGGAACTTGATTTGCATGGAAGTGTAATACAAAGATGGTGTAAGAGACTTTCTTGTCTTCTTTTTTCTTGAAGAACTAAGCAAACTGAATCAGATCCAGAAAAGGGAAGTACTTCCTAAGAGCCTGGAGAATATACCAGTGTTGGCCATTGACCAAAGTACTCCTCTTTTGGGGAGCCTGTGGTAACAATTTACTATGAGAATGAAGTAGTTGAAAGGGAACAAAAGACAGGAATGAATTTTCACGTTGGTTTAGAAGCTTTATGATGAAGGGGCCACCAGTGGCAGCCATTATACACTTTGACTCCAGGGATGTGCATCATATGAACATTATTGAGTGGTCATGTTCAAACACCTAATTTTCAATGCTGAAAAAAGTAGATTAAAAAAACCCAAACAGCTTACAAATATTTGCAGCTCTCTCAGTTTCATCCTTCATTTAGGAGAAGCATCGATATGGCCTCTACTTTCAGAAGAGACACTCTCAGCTTGCTCTTTCATGAATGACATTTTTTTTTATACTTATTTGGCATGTGATAGTCCCTCAACTCTTCATAGTTTAGTATTGGTAGCTACAGTTAACAGATGTCAGCTGGCAAACAGTGTCTTAACCACTTAGTTTAATAAGACTGAGTTATGTATATGTACTATGCAATTCTGTATTTAAAATGCCACTGATTAGGTTACTAGTCACAATATTATTGGGAGTTATGAACAGTGGAATATAGTTTGTTTTTTTTTTTTAATGTTGTTGATGATCAATGTTGTGAACAAGCTTTACAAAAGATCCTTTCTGAACGATTTTAGATTCATTTAGTTTGACCCCAGGATTATTCCCCTGGAGGGGGGGGTGTCTGTTTTTATCTGTGTTGATCCTATTATTGTAATTATTTATGAAATCAGTATTGGTACTAAGCAGTAATTCACTGAGTATTTGAATATCAAACAATGATCCCCAGTATGAAAAATTGCTAAACTTCTGATAACTGAATCAGAAGAGACCATGTGAAAGTTTCTAGAATTTTATTTAGTCTTGCTGCATAACAGTAAACTGTTAATCTAACTTGCTGGTATTTGTTTAGTTACAGAAATATTAAATAATATAAAAAGACAGAAAAGAAAACATCTACGTGATGTCACATAGAGCAGCAACATGATGCTAGCTAGGATTTGTGTGGCATGATTATTCACTTTTTAAAGCTGAGAAAATTAAAATAGGAATATAATAGAAATATAGGAAGAAGTATCATGTTTGACCAATCAGTAAATACACAGAGAAACACCGTGCTAGTGTTACCAAGAATTAACGGGGCTTAACAGTAAAAACTCTGCTTCAGTTAGCATCATGCTGGCAGCATGTGGAAGTGGTGGTGTTTAAGCAGCAGGCCGAGCACATGGGCGAAGTCTTGGTGCTTCGGGACAGTTTGGACAATGAAGCTACTGTAGCTGGAGATTTTTGTAACCCAGCTGATTTTGTGAGACTTCTCACAATAGAGCTGCATCTGTTACTGCAGACTGCACTGTTGCTTGGTACCAAACTCTGTATTTATCAGTATGAATGTCTTTGAAAAAAGATCAGTTGTCCTGGATTTTGAGCCTGCTCGTTTCTCTTGTGCTGAAGCAGTATACTGCCAGAGCTGTCTCTTGCTGTTGGAAATCCACACAGTCCTTTCAAGCCCATGGGAATCCAAGCAGTAATGCTGGTTCTGAAGGCGTTTCTGAAACTTTGGGTTTACATTTCTGTGCAAGTCACTTGCAGTCTAATTTACTTTCTTAGATTTCAATGTGAGTAACATTTTGCACACAAAATGCAGTTTTTCCTGGTTGACTTTAAAATGCTTGACCGCTCTGTGTGAATTATTTGTATTTTTTTAATTTTACATCCTTTCTAGTTGGAAGAGTAACCACCTCATCATTGCAAATGAAACAAGAAGGAATGCTTTGGCAAGGAGCTTTGATTTGTTTCATTCCACTGCTAAGATTATCATTAACTGTAGCTTAGAGTTTTATAATAAAAAAAGAAGGGAGGACTTGGAAATAGCAGCATTTACGGATTCACAGCCTTTCATTACAAGTAGGTAATGCACAGAGTCATTCATATAGCTGCTGTGGAATTTAACTTTATTGACTCTTTTATACAGTTATTTCCTGAAGTATTAAGACATGGAACTCTGGTGTATTCAGCATTTTGTCATCCTTTGTACTATACTGCATGGGGGCCACTTTATATAGGTATTGCCAATAGAACAATTTAATGATGGCAGCATCACATTTCTTCACAGCTATCTTCTAGTGATCTGAGCCATGGTTTAACAAAACAATGCAGGAAGTTAACAGAAATGTGAATAAAAATAAAAAGAAAGTTATAGTGACATCACAGATTGCAATATGTTGATGTCTGTCTTGTTTTAAAAGCAAAACAAAAGCACTGGAACCTCAAGCACAGCTTTGGTCAGCTGTCAGTGAGGGTGTTGAAAAGAGCATTATCCGTTAGGATTTTGCACATGTCAACATACAGTCCCTTCTTTTTAATAAGTATGTGATTTTAATACTTCATGGGATGGTAACTACATACGATTTTGTTTTGGGTAATTTGAGGGCATCTTAAACCTTTTGTTAATGTTAAGGTTCTGGTCTTAAAATCTAAGCCTTTTGTGAGCAGTCAAGCAAAATTCTTGTTGTTATCTAGAGACTCCCTCAGCTTTTGGAATCCTGTGGAATGAACGAGATCTGTCTTTGGGGTTATATTATGCGTGCATTTACTCCTTAAAATAATATGCATGTGCCATCACAACGTACCATTTTGGCTCGTTTTGCCCGTGTTTGGCTGCAAAAGTCTACCTCAGACTGGTATCTTTTTTTCCAAGGGACAGTTATTCAAATAAAGTTGAAGGTATTGAAGCTGCTAGACTTGCCTGTATTCCTACAGCTACAGTCACTGGATAGAGTTTTTGTTTGAATCTGGTAAGATTTTAGTATTTTACAAACCTTGTTACCATATTTCTGTTCAGCTAGTGTTCAACTTAGCTGTTTATTTGTTTGTTTTATTTTTTGAACAAAAATCGACCTCCTAAGTCACCAACAGTGTCAGTTATACTTATCTCATAAATCAGCACTTGTATACAGTACAGAGACTTAATAAGTTAGCCATATATGTATATATAACTCATATACAGCATGGATTGTTTGCTGTTCCTGCCACAGCTTTTTGGAGGAGATAACAACAGTGCAGGTAAAACCTCCCCCAGTAATTGTGCAGTCTGTGCTGGTGATGCAGGGCCTGGGCTGTCCTCCCCGGGACCCAGAGGAGCTGCCCTGTTAACAGTATGCTGGATCACTGTGGGCTCTATGTGTGGGAGGCGGGGAGGAAGAAGAGGTGAAAAAAAGGGTGCCTCTTTTGGTACGGTTAATGCAAATATTACCCAAATTCATTTCCCCAAACTGTCTATTTCTTTTTATCTTCAGGGATACTCATGATGTATACAATATATCCTTCACCTTTCTGGTTATTCGGCTCACCTGGATTTCTAAGTTGTGCACATCATTGATTTATACAAAATCATGTTCCACCAATGTTCCTTTTCTCTCTTCCATGTAATTTTATGTTTGGTTCATCTAGCTTTTAAATTTTGACTTTTAAAATTGTTAGTTGCTTACAGCACAGTGACAAGCAAGGAGACTTTGGCAGGGCCTATGCTTCTGTAACGTATATGAAGGATCCATTATTCTCTTACAGCAGATGGCTGGCAGACTGTGTGAACATATTTCCAAATGAGTGAGTTAATTGTTTGCATTGTATATGCTTATTTGGCTCTTTAGCCATTTTGTGCTCAGTGTGTCTTGCCCAAATACGGAGTTGGAAGAGGCATATGTTTCTGTAATAAGAACAGCTCTTTCAGCATCTGCATAGTGCAAGCCTCCAGACATCCAAGCACTGGAACAGCAAGTCTCAGAAGTGATTTTCTTCTGTATCAAGTTCACATATGGCTGGTCAGATTACATGAAAATCATTCGAGACTATTGTTCTTCTCATAAAGAATTTGAATCAAAGAGGAGAATGTGTGATACTTCACATCTGTCTTACTGTAACTGAGTCAGTATTCACTGTCAGAAATATAAACAACATCCTGCTAACATTGTGTAAGAAGTGGCTGCAAAGATAGTCCAGGACAAAGATTTTATCTAAGTTTAATAGCAGGATCATATCCATGTGTAAGATCTGTCTGCTTGCTTTTGTAGTGATGTTTGTTACCTCTGGGATTAGGAGCTGTTCTTCTGTCTTCTTGCAGCTCTCTTCTTGCAGCAGACCTAATAAGACCACCTGAGAGACTGGGCTCAGTTCAGGTCCCGAGCGACCTCTGTGTTCATGGTCAGTCTGCTGTCGTGACCCTAACCAGTGCACTTGTATTGAGCTGCTCTCTTCTGCATCAGTATAGCAGCTGAGACCACTGTTCCCTCAGAAACGTTGTGATTTAGTGCACAGCACCGATATACAGAGAGCTGTAAAGAATGAAGTTGCCATTCTGCCAAACAGTAGAATTTGTACTCTACAGTTTTGTATGGAATTTAAGAATTCCTTATAATAGTTCTTTATAATAATTCTGTTCAGTCACAGTATGTTGTTTTGTGTCTGTCTCCATCTAGAGTTCAGAAGGCTATAACATGAGCATCCCAATGCCAGGCCACCCAGTGAATTTTTCTGAAGTAACAATGGCACAGGCTCGGAAGGATGTGGCTAAACTTGAAGAGCTTATTGATGCTCATGATGTTGTTTTCCTATTAATGGACACTAGGGAGAGTCGATGGCTTCCTGCTGTCATTGCAGCCAGCAAGAGGAAGGTATTGTACCTTGCTAATATCTTTGTTGCTGAATTTCAGCTCTTGCATATCAACCAGCAATGTGTGACTAACAACTCTATGGGAAATCAGTTAAATATTTAACCAATCTTTTGTGATTGTGCAGGGTTTTTTTCTTGTTCTGTGTAGCCTCAAAGATTCTGTGTAAGACAAAAAGAGAATGTTGAAAAGAGGAAATAGAAACTTGTTTCACAGAATGATACAGATTGAAAGAGACCTGCAGGTGATCTGGTTCAACTCCCTGCACAAAACAGGGCTAACCTACAGCATATTGCTCAGGCTCTTGTCTATCCAGTATCTTTTGAGCATCTCCAAGGGTACATATTTCATAGTAAAACTAAGAGAAGTAATTTCTTAGTAAGCGAATCATAGCAAGGAGGACTAAAGACATTACAGTAATTGGCTGATAGGGAATGTGAATTGTAGAGACTTGTCTGAAACCACGTTTTCAAAATATAATATCTCAAAAGTGAAAAATTAGAAAGTGAATCCTGAACTGATGAAGCATGCCAGCCTTTTTTTTCTTTAATTGAAAGTTAACTCTGCATTTTTCTCCTTGGCTTATTGGAAAACATACTATTGTGCTGAGCCGTTGTATCTAAACTCTGTCCATGACTCTTACTCAGGTAGTGTTGAATGCTTCACGTATTTCTGTAACTTAAAAGTAGTATCCTCATGTTAGAGGCAACGAGAAATGGAGAGGGCTGCAGTACATGAAATTAAGATTCTGGATTCTTATAAAACTTCAGATACTATTGTTTTATAATATAGGTTATACTCTGTGTATAGGATCAGTGAGACTGTATACATAAATGCTTATCTAGTCAAAATGTTAAAACATCTTTTGTGGTCAGTATACAGATCTGGTCAGATGAACCGGATTGAGATAGAAAATATAAGCTTAACATGCTTTTTCCAGGAGACTGTCAAAAGCATATGGCGATAGGATTTTGAGATATTTTTTCCAGTTCTACAAATCTTTGTGAGGATTAGATATAGATGATAGAGCCTTTACTTTTGTGTGAATTTTGTTCTTGAAGACAGTGTGGAGCCCAAACTTTTCCTGTGAAGGAATATTCTAAATCACACAGGATTATGGAAGCAGTGCAGTGTTGAAAATATAGTTTTGCTAAAAAATCCCAATAAATCATCCTGAACATTTACTTCCCTTCCTATGATGATGTAGACTTCAGTAAAAGACAAACAAACAAAATCTTGATATTTCCTAATTCATTTAAGAATTGTGCAATCTTATGCTTACTCAGTTGAAATAGTGTAAAATCAGAAAATGCAAGTATTAAGTTTTTAACATGTCAGCTTAACCACCCCGCACATCCTGTGTATTTTGTGGCATAAATATAATGATGTCGATAGCAATTTCCTAAGTTGTGAACTTAAGAGAGTAAAAGAAAACATAGATGTGACACAGCTGAGTCAATATTGTTATTCAATATTTCATTTTTGTATTCCCCGACTTCTGTGTTTTTTCCAGCTATGACAACTCTGGTTTCCTAATGGTTGTTTGTGGTTCCTTTTGTTTGTGCTTATATTTATTAAAAAAAAAAAGACAGTAGAAAGGAGAGAGAATGCAGATTTGTTGTATATGCAACCTGTTTTTATCTATAAATTCCAAGTATATTCCTGTTTCTGCCGAATTTTTTTTCATCTGAACTTAACTAAATTTGCTCTGCACCTGCTTTGCAAGCAGTTCTTTTTCAAGATCAAACAATTCTTTCAATTTTTTAAGCCAAGATCTTACTTCATTCTTTCTTTACTTTAAATAATTTCTGATCCTGAGCAATAGGCTTGTATGTCATTGTAGTTCAGCTGAACTTCCCTTTGCCGGTTACTGCCACTGAAAGTATCAGTGTGGACTTCATGTGTAACTGAGTCTATGTAACTTGATAACTTCATCAGTTCCTACTTAATCCCACTGTCTTTTCTGCAGTTTGCACCTGGGGTCTTTCAGCAATCTGTTTAAAAACAGCACAGAAATGACACAGAAAGAGTAAGTTTGCAAAGCTGGGTATTGAAACTGGGAAGTGCCAGCCCGCTCTTTCATATGTATGATGGTTGGTAGTTGTAAGCAGTATGTGCAGTTTTATATGCAGCCCCCACT